AGTTAATCACGTCGGTTCACTTCTAGATTGCGTTTCCTATAATTTTGTGGGGCTCTGCTGTCGGTGTCAGCCCCGACATATGGCAAGCTCCATTTCTGTAATTGTGGCATCTTTGACGGGGAGTAATAATGAGATAAAAAATAAGTACAGCAAATTCTGTGAGCATCAGAGCCTCCTAAATCGGTGGCCACCTTGACTTACTTATGAAGCTAGTGGTCTTGCGTCAGGACAGAGTAGATAGCCAGACTCACGGGTGACATCCCCGAGTAGAGCCATCCAAAGAACGAGGCCACAGTTAGTGCAAGTAGTTGTCAGGGCGATGGAGGTATAGGTAAGGAAGCCGAGAACTCAATAATTAAATGGCGCTGCCACATGTACGATATGGACTTTATAAACATGGTTTTGTGTTGTTTTCCGGCTGCCCGGAAGTGATCAAAAATATTAAATTAAATAAGATTATATTTGTTTTAATACGCTAAAGTAGAATAAAATTAGATCAATATAAACTCCTGTTACGCAGGATACGAATGCTAATCGAGGGAAACTCGACCTTATATAAACTTGATTATACAAGAAAATGGAAATTCATCCTCCTATTGGTGGAATTTAACAAAAAATGTAAAGTCAGACTACGGAACATTTAAAAGTAGTTTTTTTTGTTATAAGTCGACGGGATTTTCGGGGCCTCTAAAATCAGTCTTGCCGTTTCTTGTTCTGTGGTAAAATTTTTGTCCTCGTGTCTCTTTACTCTGAGCTCGGCACGTCAAGTTTTAGGAAAATCGTAGGTTTCAGTTCACTCGAAGAGGGAAAGACAATTGCTGATACCGTCAGCGCACTGCTTGGGCGTATTTCAGCCCATAAACTAGCATCATCTGGTTCATATGACTGATCACAGCTAATGCATAGATTCTGACCAGATCTTGATAAGCGGTAGTAACGCGATGGGTCAACTCGGACTAGCTGCGTCGGAGTGTTGCGGTCAAGGATGAAGGATTGCTCCGTCTAATGGAAGAAGGCAGTCAGCTGTTAGGAGCGATTTATTGGGTGCACGAAGCAAGGGGTCGTTAGTTGACGGTTCGGGACGG